GCCTACGACGTGTACTTTTCTGCCAACTGTCTAGCTTTCAGCCTTCGTAGCCTCCTTACACAGCGTAAGCATAATTGTCGGGATTACGCTCAAACGCCGCATACGCCCATATCCTTGCAGCAGAGCGTTGCACAAACGTCGAAAGCCCGTCGACAAAGCCACCTTGATGCTTCAAATATCCATACATGAACACGAGAGACAAGCAACTCACCTCAAAAAAATTGAGTCGCACGTTGCCCTCAGCAGACGAGTTAGGCATGTCGATGTCCGTGAAGCGGCGACGCTGTGCCTGGAGCAACGTCAGCAGGGGATAAATAAATAAATGATTGAGCCAGCCGCGTAATAAATTAGAGCAATGGAACTGAAGTGCGGCGGCTACAGCGTGAAGGTTTTGCAATGAACAGTACCTTGCAAACGTTTGCAGGGTCCAAAGCAGCTTCTCGGAACTCCACGCAGCTGTTCATATGTTCTAACTCATTTGCTGGTGATATGTAGGAAGCTAGCAGCTTTGACGAACGCAACAGAGGTGGAACAGGCCAAAATACGTTGTGTAAAAGCCAGAGATTATATATCGGGCGTTGTGCACATTTGCTAAAAGAGCTGGAAGTGCTATGGAAGGTGACTTTTGTCAGTGGCCAGCTTGATTGTACGGCGTCCGGTAAAGGTGCGCAACAGCTGCAAATCCAGGTGGTGTGTTGGTAAGGTGCAGATCGGCGAACTCACTTTGTCAACAGTTAGCCTATTTATGTTTATATTATAGCTGCATGTCACTGCATTATCACGTCCACTCCCGTTCCTCTGCACCTGGTTACGTCCCCGGAAGCAATATCCCTCAGTGCAAGCCCTTGAAAACAACATATCAAGTCATCATGAAGGCCGCTGCTCCATTTTTGCTTATGCGCAAAGCGGGCGATTGACGTATTCTGCTCATGGCGGAAGTGCCACGAGCTATTGATACAGCGTTATGGATCTTGAAGCTCTTCTTGCGTGTCTAAGATGCTTTGAGTCATGTTTGCTCACAGGAGGAACTGCGGCCCGAACAAGGGCGCCACCGAACTACTATCATGGAGGGCTTCCTTTGA